AACAGCTTATTTTTCCCTCCCCACAGCCCCTTGCAATCACTAACCTAACTCTCGTCTCTCCACTTGACTGTACTAGGTAACTCACATAAATGAAATCATCCAGTATTTGTCTTTTTGTCTGGCTTATTTCGCTTAGTGTAATGTCCTCAAGGCTCACCTAGGTGGTAGTAATGGGTCAGAATTTCTTCCTTTGAAGAGCTAAATAATATTCCACTGTATGTACAGACCACATTATGTTTATCCATTCACCCACTGAAGGACTCTTGGATTGCTTCTGCTTTTTGGCTACTGTGAATATTGTTTCTATGAACATCAGTGAACAAATACCACTTTGAGGCCCTACTTTAAATTCTTTGGGGTTATAGTAATAGTAGAACACCTGCCTGGCAAGCATAACGCCCTGAGTTCAAACTCTGGTACTGCCCAAAATAAAATAAAGAAAAATTTCAAACTTCTAATTCCTTTGGGTATGTACCCAGAGGCTGATCAACTGGTGACATGTTTAATTTCTGAAGAGCTGCCACACTGCTTTCCACAGCAGCTGTGCCACAGCGCATTCTGCCACCCGCACAAGGGTTCCAATTTCTCCACTTCTTACTGCAGTTTTACGTTATGGTAGCCATCCTAGTGAGTGTGAAGGAAAACAGGAGAATCTCATTTCCCACCGATTTTTAAATTATGTCTATCCTGGAAAAAAATTAGTACCCAGATGAATTTCAGTCTGGTTTTTCTCAAAATTTTTTAGAGAAACGTTTTAGGCAAATGCTCTACCATTGAGCTATACCCCCAGCTTCAGTTTTTTTTTTAATGTAAACCAAGTTCATTTTGCTTTTTAAGTAGCGTTTTGAAGCACTGTAGCTTGATAAATAATATAAATTAATATAAGACTTCTCAAAAGCCAGAGTTTTGCTTGTTTTTTAATAAATTGTTTAAAAAAATCTATATAGCCTATTCTAACCAGATAAACTCAATATTTAAAAAAATTCTGACTTAGAGTAAGTAAATTAGGTTTCAATAAGTTAGTTAGGTGAGGTTGGGCTACATGGTAAGACCCTATATCATAAAAAAAAAAAAAGTTTTCATCTTTGTTCAGCCTCTGCTTGAAGGTTTACGTGTTCTGAACAGGCAGAACAGGCACAGGGCACCACGTGTGGTCCTGGACTGTGAGACAGGCCTCAGGTTTTCGTAACGGTCAGACTCCACGTCCAGCCTGTGCTAATAACCACGAACTTCCAGGACGCCCAGCACTGCGTTCCTCTTTACTCACGTTCATTTAATACCAGGCACTGTGCTGGTGCTGGGACACGACCCTGCGCCATCATGAAGGAGATACATCACCCCTGCTTTACACGTGGGGAGTGAGGAGCCTTACATTCACACTTGGGTTAAGATCACATAGTTACAGTTTGGGAAACTGCAGTTCAAAGTCACGTCTTACTCCAAAGCTCACCAAAGATGAGACTTGTACTACCCACAACCTCCACTCTACCAACACTTGCCCTTTAAGGGAGCCCTTATAAAGTAGTATTCACTGTGCTTTCCACATTTCAATTGAGATTTCCACGTGCTGTCAGAGGAGTGCCACAGTGCAAGGAATTAAAACCCGTGTAAGCCTCCTCCACAGCTGAGCTGGAGGCAGTTTAGCAAGGTTGTCAACATGCAAAGTAACAAAGCATATGTTAGTGCAAACAAAACCAGCAAATCCTAGAGTAAGCGCTGAGTATCTGCAGCTCATTAGAAAAACTGACTTAGCTTGCAAAGCTCACTGGCCTGACAAGAGCTACGGCAATACCTGACAGGACACTAACTGCTCCTATGCTAAACTCCCTGGGACACAGGGGCAATGAGATTTAAAGAGCCAAAGAATCAACAGTTGCACCAGCTCTCCATTTAAACAAAACCAGAGAGAAAAGAAAAAAAGAAACAGTCTGGCCAAGAAAACATCGAAGAACTTCAAAAAGGTTTTTTTGTATCCCAGTTTAAAAGAAAAGTCATTTGAAGTTAACTTGATCTTAGGGCTGGCAGAGTGGCTCAAGCGACAAGAGCACCTGCCTAGTAAGCATGATGCCAAGCTCAACCCCAAGTATCACCAAAAAAATTAACTTGATTTTAAATTTTAAGTTTTCTTTTTTAGCTAATATAATTATGACAATCTTTTAATCTAGGAAAAACAAGTAAATTATATTGTGTTAAAGCACAAAAGAAGCTACAAGAACAACTTCACTGTATGCACTCTTACAGAAAAGTCTCCCTTGGAGGGTGTCTTGACCCCCACAGCTCACAGAGCCCAGGCGAGTGGAGGCCATGTTTCTGACCTACCCGTCTGTTTAGCCCAGGGACAGATTGAAATTGAACAGACTACCGGGACGTGGGGCCTCGCTGGAAGAAATGGGTGGCAGGGTATACCTCTGAGGGGACGTCTTGGCCTGGCCCCCTCCTCTCTCTCTGCTTCCTGACTGCCATGAAGTGAACAACGCTGCACCTTTCTACCATTGGTTCTGGCCCACCCATGGTCCACAAAAACAAAGCCAGCTGACCTTGGACTAAAGCCTCTACCACCATGAGCCAAAATAAATTATTCCTCCTTTAAACTGCTTCTCTGACTTACTTGTCATGGGCGGTGGGGGGGGGCGGGGGTGCAGGACACAAGAACACTAACACACCCCTGTAACAAATTTTTCTTATAGTATTTTCAATGCTTGAATCAAATTTATCTTCTAAATATTAAAGAGGAGCTGGACATATAGCTACCCAGAACCTTTACAACTTTAAAAAAAAACCTAGAGGGCTGGAGGCATGGCTCAAGTCCTAGAGACCCTACCTAGCAAACACAAAGCTCTGAGTGCAGACCCCATATTGGGGGAAAAAAAAAAAAAGTCTAGAGATTAAAGATGAACTACTTAAAACATAATTTCTACAAAAAGTTTCTTGTAGTTGTTTTTAAATACATGTCAGTGAATATTCTGGCACCGTGAAAACGTGTTTCTTGAGCCAGGTGAAATAGAAACACGTAGCTGAGCTGTAAGGAAGAGGGAAAAAAGGCTGGAACGAGTTTCACACACTTATGTACAGAACAGCTTTGGTTAAGTGGTAAGCTGTCTCTGGCTCACAGACAGCTCTGAACTCTGGCTCTGAACTCAGCCTCCAAATTCAACAAGGATTCACTGAGTGGCTATGATGCTAAGCACTCTGTGAGACAGTTTAGAAATGATCACTGGCCTTTGGGGACACAGGGGACGATGGACATGTACCTCAAGACTACCCTTTCTTTTGTGTGATTCCCGCTCTCTAGCACCTTCTGAAACGCACTTACTCTCCCCAAAGCTCAATATCCACAGTCACTGCCAAAATCATCTTTCTGGTCAATATCTCAACAAAACCCTATTTAAACTAATAAATTGGATTGGAGGTGTGGCTCAAATGATAGAGCACCTGCTTTGTGGGCACGAATCCCTGAGTTCAAACCTTAGAGTTGCCAAAAAAAAAAAAAACCACCCAAAACCAATAAATCATTCAGGTTTGTACTCAGTCTTTCATGATTTGAGTTAGCTTGAGTAAATCCCAAAAATCTGATGAACCGTGATTAATTGGCTTAGATGTAATTTCTGAACCTTCAGACACAGGAATTAGACATAGGAATGGAACACTCCATGCAAAGATCCTGAACTGTGAATAAACGAGACAGACCCTCTAAGAGCGCTGCTTCTCAAGCCGTAGTGCACATAGGGGTCACCCCCAAATGTTCAAATGCGGGGGGTCCGGGAGGCCAGGGGTAGGAGGCCCAGCCTTCACCTGTCCACTCCCCATGAATGCAGGGCTGTCCTGCATACACGAGGGTATGCTCCTCGCTAGGTGCCCAGCATGGTCACCATCATCTTTCTTGGGAGCAAAACCAATTTCTTTTTCACCCTTAACACCATCCGAAGTCCTAACCTGACCCTATCTTCCAAACGACAGACTTTAGACATGTGCCAACTGAAATGGCATCCAGCCTCCAACAGTCACTACTTCTACGATTATAGACACAATTATTTCACAAAGAGCTTAAAAAAAAAAAAAACTGGAAAATAAACAGGGAAGCTACTTAAAAAAAAAAAAACCCTAGGGACAAAAATGGTAAAAATTTGCAGCACATTCCGGTGCATTTCTTTCCACGCTGACCTGGTCAAATCTTTGGAAAGTCATTCATCTACGCCCTAACGATTTTCCACATTTTTTGGTACATACACAGTTTAGTAAGTCACTCAACTTCAAGGGGAAAATTTCAAATTAACCTAAAAAAGTCAGCACTTCTGTGCGACCGCACAGCCGCATAAAATGGCAAAGAGCCCTCGGCGAGGGTGACAGCGGCAAATCCACCCCGGCCTGGCGGCACCCGAGGGCGGGCGCGCCGGGCTCCGTGGATTTTCCGCGGCCGGTGTGGCGCTGCAACCCCGAGCGTCCCCGAAAACGCCTGGGAAACGGGGCGGCCTTGGCTCCCGGGACCCCGGCAGCGATGGCGGCGCTCGGGCGGCGACTGCCCACCACCGGTCGTCGCCCCGCTATTTCTGAGTCACTTCACGGGCGACAACCACGCCCCGGGGCTGAAAGCCGCCACTCAGCGCGGACGCCGCGTTTCCGCCCGGGCCCCCCTTCCGGCCAGGGCCGCGGCGGCGCCTCGGCCGTCGTCCTGTTTCCCTCATTTCCAGGCAGCCCCCGGGCGGCCGGGCGGACCCCCCAGGGCCAGGTGGGGCTGCCAGGCAGCGGTGTCCTCGCCCAGGCCGCGCCCGGGACCCGCTGCCCGGCCGCACCGGAGCCGGCGAGGGCGGGGGGCGGCGGCAGCTCCGCGACCGTGAGCAAGGACGCCATGGCCGCCTCCCGGCGCGAACCGCGCGAGCGAAGGGCGGCGACGACGAGGGGCGGGGGAGGGGGGACGCGGCGGCGCCGTCCCCGGGCCGCTCTGTGCGCGCCGCGGGGCCCGAGATGGAGAACGGGTCGTGGCGGCGGCCCTGGCGGCCTACCTGCACCTTCTCGGTCTTTCTCCTCCGCCATGTTGGCGCGGCCGTCGCCCGGGAGACGCCGGCGGGGTGCGCACGGGCGCGGCGGGGACCCTCGCGGGCGGCCCGGGTGGCGGGGGTGTGGGGAGGGCAGGAGGACCGTTGAATGGGATTGCAAAGCCCCCCTGTCCCCGTGGGTGACTGATTTGGTGACAGTACACGCCGCCCCTTCCCCGGGACGACGTGGCGCGTTGGGTGGCGGTGCCTTAGCCGCTGCGGCCCGAACTGCGTGGGACGCAGGCGGGCATCGCCGCAGAGAGCCGGGTGCAAAACGCGCGCAAACGCCGCAGAGAGCCGGGTGCAAACTGCGCGCAAACGCCGCAGAGAGCCGGGTGCAAAACGCGCGCAAACGCCGCAGAGAGCCGGCTGCAGTTTCGGATGCAAAGTGAGGTTCTCCGAGCAACAATGGGGCGCCCGCCTCAGCCCGGGGTCGCGCACCTCCAGACTGGACGCGACCTCGGCTGGAAGTCACCGGGGAAGTCGTTTGAGTCCTGGCTTCTGCAACTTGGTAGCCTTAAGATCCCGTTGATTTTGGTTCCTTTATAGATAAGCTCACTGCGCTAGAGTATTTTCTTGTTATATAAAAAGAGCTTTGGGGGTTCGATCCCCAATAAGGAGAAACAAAGGCTTTAAATAAAACGAGCTAATGCGGCCCAAACGAATGCCTGTTTTTAAACAAGATTGAACGTTGTCAGCGCATATGTGTAATAATCAAACGACCTCTGTTACATAAAAGCGATTTTTAAGCTGAACTGTCCTGCAAAATACAAAAATATTCGTACTTAATGGTTTTATTAGCACACTTTTGCATGCTCCTTTTATTCAGGATCTCAGTAAATCCCAACCGACAACATTCCTATTTATTAAAATGTCTTCCCTGTGTCAGTTTGGTGCTGTGATCAGCACTCTGTTTGAAAGTGAATGTGAACTGAGTCGTCACGAGACGACTCATCTTAGAAGACAGATGCTCGTGTAGGAGAAATAGGCACGCCTGCAGGAAATCCTTAAGACCCCCAGATGCTCAAAACTACCCTTTGAGCCACGCCTCCAGCCCTTTTTGCTCTGGTTATTTTGAAGATGGGGTCCAGCTTAATACCCAGACGGGCCTGGACTGTGAGCCTCCTGTTTCACCCTTCCCACCATAACTGGGATGAAAGGCATGCACCACCGAGTCCAGCTATTGGTTGAAATGGGCTCTTGCTAACCTTTTACCCAAGAACGGTGATCAGTCTTAGCCTTCCAAGTTCTGTTTTGTTCTATAAAAGAGTCTCTAGGTTGCCCAGGCTGGTCTCAAACTCCTTGGGCTCAAGTGGTCCTCTTGTCTCAGCCTCCTAACTAGTTGGAACTACAGATGTGCACCATCACGCCTGGCTTGAAAAAACATGTCTTAAAAATTAAGAAGGTAGCCAGGTGCCTGTGGCTCAGGTCTGTAATCCTAGCTACTTAGGAGGCAGAGATCAGGAGGATCTAGGTTCAAAGCCAGCCCAGGCAACTAGTTTGAGAGACTCTTATCTTGAAAAATCCCTTCACAAAAAAGGGCTGGTGGAGTGGTTCAAGGTGTAGGCACAGTATTGGGGGCAGGGGAGAGGAGTTAGTCTTTTTTTTTTTGAAAACCCAGGATTCAGCCTGGCACCTGTGGCTCACACCTGGAATCCTAGCTACTCAGGAGGCAGAGATCAGGAGGATTGAGGTTTGAAGCCAGCCCTGGGCAGCAAGACCCTATCTCGAAAATACCTAACATAAAAAAGGGCTGGTGGAGTGGCTCAAGGTGTAGGCCCTGAGTTCAAGCCTCAGTACCACAAAAAAAACCCCAGAAAACCCAAGATTCAACAAATGTATTACAAGTAAGACATTCGTTATATTTTTGTGTCGCTGTAAGTATTGGCAGGGCATGTTGATAAGATGGAATCTTTATATAAGCATTTATACATAAAACTAGTTACTATATTAAGAGTTGAACAGATTTCTCTGCAATCCCCTCCCAATAATTTTTAATATATTTTACTAAATAAAACTATGTTCAGTAAAGTTTATTATTTAAGGTATTCCAAGCCGCATTAATCTCTAAATTCCTGCAGCGCTGTTTAAAATTACCCTTTCCCCATGTTTGGGCAAGTACAAGCTAATGTGTGTTGTTTACCTGCCTCCCTCTAGGTTGGAAGGCAGGAGCCTAATTATACACACTTTTTTTTCTTATGTACCTTTTGAATCTCCACAGAGCCTGCCTAACTGGGTTGCATATTAGGTGCTTAGTACAGATTTTCAACTGTTAGACATAAAAGTATATAATTATTCTGGAAAACAGTCCACAGATGAAAATGATCACCCAAAGAACAGAACAGGCCACGCCTCCAGCCCTTTTTGCCAATGATAAGTCACCTGCAATTATTCTGACCCCACTTTCTATTAAGTAATCATGTATTTTTGGTTTTGGTAGAATGGGGTTTGAACTCATGGCTTCATGCTTGCAGAGCAGACGCTCTGCTGCTTGAGCCACACTTCTAGTGCACACCTTTCTACACTCTGTGAAAACCTGACTGCTGATTAAATTATACTTTTAACTCTTTAAATATTAGCTTGCTTTGGACAATGACAAATGACAGCTGTGTTTGTTTTATTTTTCCTGAGAATATATTTTATTTCTGAAGTATGATGTGGGTAAATTTCTAATATGGTATACTTCTAAAATCTCAGTGATTTTCAGAAATTCAGAATCATGAAACTGCTTGATCCGCCCGTGGATACTATGAAGCATTGTTAGGGCTGCATCCAAGAAGCAAGAGCAGTTTTAGACAATGGTTTTGATTTGATTCATTGTGTTCTACAGGGCCAGATGAGTGTGTACAGGTCATGTCCTTTTAGATATCTGCTCTGACAAGTCGGTACTGAGCCCACCAGACACGGGAAGTGTTTCTTCTGAGTACAGTTGATCCAGTGACCTGAGATGTGAGCAGGGAGGAAAGGGTGAGTGATGGGGAAGATGGACCTGGACACTGCTGTGAAGGAAGCTGAAGTCCCCTGGGACTAGGGACTTAGCAGGGGCCCGCAGAGACTGGTTCCAAGACCCTTAGGGATGCCTGAAGCCACAGACAGCACTGAAGCCTATGCATACTGTTTTGTCCTGTGCGCACCCATGATAAACTTCACCAACCAGGCACAGTAAGACACACGCCGAACGGCAGGTCTGGGCATCTCAGCATGTGACTTCTTGCCTCGTGGTCAGAACTCACCTTTCCGCGTGCAGGAAGCGCTTCTCGGCTTCCCTGTGGCACGGCTGAGCTGCCAGCGTCGCCCCTCTTGCACCGTGAGTTCATGAGCAAATAAAATAAGGGTCCCTTGAACACAGCACCGCAAGACCACGACAGCGGTGATAACCAAGATGGCTGCACCGTGTACATTGAGGACGAGCTGGGAAAAGCTGACTCCCATCCCGGGTGGGATGGTACACAATACTGCATGAAACTCCATTTCCAGAGTGGCAATGACGTAAAACTTACAAATTGTTTGTTTCTGGAATTTTCCATTTACTATTTTCTGGCCATGGTTGAGCATGAGTAACTTTTAACTGTGCAGATAAGGAGGGGTTACTGTAATTTAGTCAAAGAAAAGCTGGATTGCCATTTACTGACCTCATGAGACTAGAAAAGTCATGTAATCTCTCCTCTCTCTCCTTTCCCCCACGTTTGTTTGTTTGTTTTTCTAATTTTTATTTTATTCATATGTGCATACAATGTTTGGGTCATTTCTCCCCACCTTCCCGCACCCCCTCCCTTACCACCCCCCACCATTTGTTTTGTTTTTGAGGCCACTGTGTAGCCCAGGTTGGCCTCAAACTCAAGATTCCTCCTGTCTCTGCCCTCTGTGCACTACGGTTACAAGTGTGCCCTACCACACCCAGCACAAGTAATCTCTTTAAAATTTAGTTGATTCAGAAAAATAGAAATAGCAATGTCCCAACTTCCTCCCTTTAAGTGTTCACAACATTCCATAGATATAACCAAAAACTTTGGAAAGTTTAAAGAACTTGGGAGAAGCAGGCTCAGGTGGTTCACACCTGTAATCCTAGCCACTCAGGAGACAGAGATCAGGAGGATTGAGGTTCAAAGCCAGCCCAGGGCAAATAGTTCATGAGACCCTATCTCAAAGATACCCAACACAAAAACAGGGCTGGCATGGTGGCCCAAGTGCTGGAGCTCCTGCCTAGCAAGTGTGAGGCCCTGAGTTCAAACCCTGTACCACACACAAAAAAAAGAACTTGCAAGGGAATCCACTGTCTTCAGGAAACTGCTTACACATAGTAAGGAACATGAGAGGCCAAAGCCCAGCGTCTGTCCCGAGGTCCAGCTCCCACCTGGAACGTGTGCTTTCCTGCACTGGGGGATGGTCTGACTCCTACTGTGTGCGGTGATCTAGCTACATGATTCAGCTGACCACTGTTGGTCTGTGGCCCCTCCTGGTTTTCCCTTGCCATTTTTAAACCAAGCAGATGTGTCCCCGGCACATCTAGATTCCTGGAGCTCTAGGCACAGGACAGTGAGAAGGAGGCTGTTGCAGCTCTGTGAAATTCTACCTTCCTAACAGGACAGCTCCCTTCCCTGGATGGCTAACATGGAGACTGGCCCGCCCCTCAAGGAAGAGCTGCCCCTTTCCATAGGTGAGCAGCCTGCCCTGATCCCAGAAGGAAGACCTTACCAGAATACAACAGAGTGGGCGTGGGGTGGGGCTCAGTGGTAAAGCAGGTGCTTAGCGTGCCTGAGACCACATGCACACACGCACACACACAGTGCAACAGAGTCAGAGTAAGGGTATGGTTTCATGACGATCATAACGACTGCTCTTTTATTAGCTACGTGCAACTCTTTGTACACGTTATCTCTTTTAATCCTCATGAGGTTCACACGAGTCTCCTTGTTTTACAGGCAAAAGGACCACGTCTTTCCCTAAATGGTGTCTGAAGTTCTCATCCCTGGTTAGGTAACGGTGCTGATTCCAGAGCCACGCTGTTTCTTTACAAATACGTCACCAGTAGGTCCGACTTGGTAACTCAGGTATTTACAGAAGACTGCTAAGGGCAAAAATTCTGCACAGAATGAGTCACCTCTCTCCTTGTGTTTTTTTGTTTTGTTTTGTTTTTAACTGCTTCAATCCATGAAGCAAAGCACCTGGCAGAGCCTCGTGGAGCTGTTGAGAGAGGCAGACAGTGGCATGCACTCTGTCCTGTCCGCACAGACAGTGATTTAAACTGAGCGCCTGGCCCAGCCAGCTTCTGGACAGCAAAGTGAACAAAACTCACTCTTCAAGGGCCTAGAGTCTGCCTTCCTTGAGCCTCTCTCTCCCTCCTGCCCTGCTGCACACTGAGGTTCAGGCCGGTCATGAGGGAAACAATGTGAAATCCGTGGCCCCGGACAAGGGCAGTGCGGGAGCTCCTTCAGTCTGATCTTTAGGGAGAGCAGGGACAAGGGAGCCAGGTAGCACTTATGGGCAGCTTGGTGGCAAACCTCACATGAAGCCACAGCCCTGAGAGCACTCAGAAGAGTCACACGTGACCCTGGCTGTCAAAAGCACATGCTTCTTTCTGTCACAGCAAGTGACTGATTCATTACTTGAACAGTTCCAGTCCCTAACAACACTTATGAGGACACTCATTGCTAAGCTACTGTCCTAAGTCTCTGTCCTTTATTCAATGAAAGTAAGACAGCTGATGCAAACCATCCTGGCTCTGGGATCAGAGCTCAGGTGGGTGAAGCCGGGCCATGAGTGGACTTGGAGTCTTCCTGGAAGTTTAGAGTCCCAAGAAATTCAGCCGCCCCTTCTGCAGAGAAAAAGCCAAATCTCAGCTGTCTCCAGTTAAAGAGACCGGGACTCAGGCCAGGTGCAATAGCTCATGCCTGTAATTCTAGGTACTTGAGAGGATCGTGGTTTGAGGCCAGCCCCAGAGGAAAAAAGCCATGAGACCCCACCTCAACCAATAGTTGGGCATGGTGACAAGCACCTGTCATGGGAGTTGGGGGCGTAAAATAGAAGGCTTGAGGTCCAGGCTGGCAGGACATAAACAGAGACATTATCTCCAAAATAACCAACACAAAAAGGCTGGCAGCTTGGCTCAAGTGGTAGAGCGCCTCCCTGGTAAGCATGAGGCCCTGAGTTCAAACCCCAGTACTGCCAAAACAGGGGTGGGGGGAGGAAGAGACTGGAGCTCTTTCAGATGATACCAACTAGGACTGGAGGTGGGGGCTCAGTGGTAGAGCATTTGCCTAGCAAAACCTTGGGTTTGATCCCCAATAGTGCAAAAAAAAAAAAATTAGAATAATAAGAACTTAAAGGTGAAGAGTGGAGGCTGACCTAAAGATTCAGTGTTTATGATTGCTCACACAGCCTCTTTCCCTTCAAATGTGAGCTTATACTGCTCAT